ACGAAACCAGATAAGACGTTTATCTGACAAGTTTGGGGGGCTTTTTGATGCAGTCTCAAAAGACTGAAGTGTACTGATGAGCATTTCTTTAATCACTTCTCACAAGTGTAATAAAGACCAAGCTTAGTGGAGTATGTTATTAGACAGATAATAACACTTACCCAGCCAAGATCTAAATACTGAAGTCATCACACACAACAGGAGTTGTCTGGAAAGTTTTGGGTTGCCTTTTTTTTTTTAAAATAAGAAAACACACAAAAAAGCAGAAGATGGTCCATATGCCCCACAAAAGACTACATAGACCTGCCATGAAATTCATACCACCACAACAGCTCATCTGGCTTTGATTCCAAGGACCGTGCATTTTACTAGCAACACACAGAATAAGGACCAGATATTGCTCCCCTGTGTACCAGCAGAAATTTTGTCGGGAACTCAGAAGGAAGCAATCCCACCCTTTCTTCAAGGGATACATGAAGGGACAATTGCTTGACAACTGTAGCTTGACTTCTGAGGGGGCCAGGAAGGAGGAAAGTATTACAGAGCCTGCAATGACGTTTAAATGCAAATTTTGAAATGCACCAGGTGGTACAAAAATCGAAGGGAGCAACCCTTGGAAGATCTATTGAGCTACATGAGAACATAACATAACCAAATCACTCCTTCAGCAGAGAAGAGAACCAACTAAATTTGGTTCAGACAGACTGTGTTTCAGCATCGCTCCCATGCCCCTCCTGGTAGCTTCCGTCTTCTCAGCTCCTTTTAAAACGTAACATGTTGAGTCTGTGCATTTTTTTCCCCTTGCCAAAAATAATCAACCTGAAAAAAAAATCCTCTGAAATCTCAAATCTGCGCAGTCTTAGTCACCCTTCTGATTACCCTTTTGTGCAGCCAGACTGTTCATCAGTGTTATTCTGACAAAAAAGTTGTCTATGACTAAAATGGGAAAGTACACACAAATTATTTCACTTCCCCGCCCCTACAAAACCCACCATCCAAAAAATCTTATCACAGAAAAAAAATATAATTAGACTGTACCCTTCTGATGTAAACTGAACTGCTGCTCTCAATGATCACAGCCACTCTTCAAAGCCTCCAAGATAAAAAGAATCTTATCATTCAAATTATTACTTCTTAGGGATGCTCTTATCAAAGTTCGAAGGAAAATTCTAAAAAACAGCAGTGATATGAAACCAGGACTAAGCCATATTTTAAATGACACTGGGTTTTCTGCCAATTGGCCAATTCACATCTCAAAAAAGCAAGTGTAGATGAAGACAAAGCTGTTGGCTCTCATAACCTTTACAATATCACAGTAAAAAATCTCAACTGTCTCACATATTTATACTAAGTGGCAGGTCTAAAATTGAGATTTGTAATTTCACAGCATCAAAATCATCACAGATGGCTACAGTCTATTGCTTCTTTAATCTGTCTTTTCTCCCTTCCTGCTTGCTTTCCCCCCTCCTCCTTTGAGTTAAAAAGATATGCATTTTATCATAAGGAAATCGTAACTAAACCCAAACCACATTATATTAATGTGTAACAAAACAATTTACATAACAACGATGCATGCAAGCAAAGTTTAAAATTACTTTATGTCTCAACTTTGCCCTAAGCACTAATTACCTTAGCCCTGAGATGTGCCACTAGTTTGGACAGTTTCATGTTCCATCAACAATATTCCACATTTATGCTCTCCTAAATGGATAGCCATTAATGCAAGAAGTTTGGGGGAGAATAAATAAGGAAAAAAAAAAAAAAGAAAAAAAAAAAGAAAAAATCAACAGCAAGTTGGTTGGGTTGGGTTTGTTTTAAAGCATCAATTTCACAGCTATAAATTCACCTGTAAGAAAAGAATCATTGCTCACCTAATATTTCTACTGATCAGGACCACTTTTGAGGAACCACTCCTGTGAAGCTTCCCAAATAAATATGGATTAAATACGTGGCTCCTTTCCCATTCTGCCTTGGGTTTTTGCATATATATACACATTCACACACACACGGATGTTCAGTAAAACAATTATCATCAATAAAGTCAGCTGGAAATAAAAATTGCAGTCAGAGGAAGGACAGTTTTTTGTCATCATATTCAAGCACCTCCATACCACCAACACAATTTTTTAAAAATCTTGTTCGAGGTCAGAGAGTCATTAACTGCCACTACAGGAACCACTTTAGATGTGAAGTGGCTTCCCATTACGCTTCCTACAACACACATCAGAAATTAAGCAAAAGCAGTTCAAGGAAAATGTATTATTTAAAAATCAGAAGGTTGAGCGAACTTGAAGCAGCTTTTAGGGCACGCCAAGCGCCAGCTGGTCCGTCCCAGCACTGTGCGGCAGGGGCCGGTCCCAGGAGAGGACAGGCTGCTCAGACGTCTCCCATGGATCTCCCAACAAGTGCAAAGCCCCGATCCACCGGCCTAAACTATTTCTGCCCACTGCGCTTTTGTCAAACATTCAAGATCTTAATCAATCCTAACTCTGACCCTAGGATCTCCGGGGAAGATGGATGAGGAAACTGACGACCTCCGACCCTTCCTTGTATTTCTCCTGCCGCAGTCAACCTATTGAAAAACAATTGCGGTGGAACCTGCTCACCAGCTCCAGCCCCGGCCCAGCACCCTTTTTACAGCCTTTCCCCAACTCGAAGGCTCTCCCCCCGCCCCCAATCCTCTGTACCAAAACCACAGGAATCCTCCTCACTTCATCCTCCTCCTCCCCTCCAAAAACCTGCCGGAGCAGAACATTTGCTGAACTATGAAGTGAAGTGGGTAAGAAAAGGGGAAGCCTCATTCAGCAGTGTCAAAGGCCAGACTGCTTTGACGGCCTCGCTGGAAATCAGAGAGCAAGCTGCATAGTTCTGATAAGCTTCACAAATTCATGAAGAGGAGCTTCCCAGTAAACTGTTCTGGCTGGAGAATGGCAAATGTGAGAAAAGGAAACCACAAACAACCGCTGATGAAATGGGTTTAGCATTTTCAAATTACATGCTGGCTCGAATCCTCTCAAAATGACTAGTACAGGCCAACTTCACCGTGGAGAGCCCAAGAGACAGAACGTTTCTATCTCCTTTGTAAATATGGCATCACCTGACCTTCCTTTTACTTGGGAAACAAGTTTCCTGAGCCCAAGCTTCCCTGGGTGCAGCTAAGAGCCGGGAGGTAGGTTGACATTCATCCCCAAAGTCTAGTCCAACACCACAAAAATAAATTAAAAAAAAGCATCCCACTATCACCCACTGCCCACCAGCAAAACCTCAAGGGACTTCCCTTGAATAACACAGGATTTGTTAGGCAATTAGCTCATCACGTCTGGGCCACTGACGCTGAAAAATGGTAGATCTGTGTCCATCAGAATGACCCAGTACCGACTTAATAGGCCTTTAGGAGAAGGCAGAATAATCGCCATGCAATAAACCAAGATGCTTTTTCCCCCCCATTCACTTCCTCCTCTCACAACCCAGGCTGTGAAGGTGTCAGGAAGCTTTGCCCAGAAGTTACCGAGCTGTCAGAAAGCAACAGCATCTCCCCAGCCACCAACAGCTCTCCCCAGCAGCACCCAGTCAGTACCACAGCCACCGGTTCACATGTTTAATGACACACAGGTTTTCAAGTTTCCATCTCACAGGATTCCAAAAAAACAGAGTAATTTACCCCAGACAGGATACCCTGTCATCGTGCTGCTCATCTTTCAGTTCTCTCTACAGCCCATGGTAATTCTGTGGCTGATACAGCACACTTAAGCTTTTTCCATATAGCAAAAACACTAGAAGTGAAGGCCGAAGTTTAAGCTTTGGCAGGAAAGAAGCACTAAGTATAATGTCAATGCATAATAATGAACTTCATATTGACTGTAAATTATCATTTAAAAGAAATCAAGTAGGACATTCAAAAGACACTGTTCTCTTCGGAGTCTAGCACAAAAGCAGTCAGTTACTTGCTCTGCTATCTTGTTCTCAGTCTCAAGATGAAAAAAATGACCTAGTGAAAAACACACCAAGAAGATGTAAAGCAAAGCCATGTGGCTCTGAAGAGCCTTTTCAAAAACATGGGTCCAAATCCACTAAGGAGTTGAGCACCTTCAATTCAGCACCCAGCAAAGTTAAGCCCACTGACCTGTGCAAGAATCCATTCAAGTTTGATCTTAATTTATGCTTACACGAGCAAGAGTCTAGAAGCTGAGGCTAAAGATATTTTATTTATAAACTCCCTTCTCTCCTTCCCTAACCTTCTACAATTTCTTTTTCCAGAAAGGGGAGGTGAAGAGAACATAGGTTTTGAGGTTTTTTCTTTTTAGGATAATCTTTTATACAAACTTTAATCCCTAATTCTGCAGCACACAGGATGGTGTGTGTGGGAGGGTGGGGTGGAGACTTCTAGCATTTCTAAGAGTATCCTAGCACCTCTATTATTAAGCTGACAATAGAGACCCTCTGAGAAATGAAAATATTTAACAAAGGCAGCAGTGTCAAATATCAAAGGGTATTTAGTGCTAAAAAATTGCAACAACTAAAACACCAAAGACTTCCCCTTACCAAAGAGAGAAAGTAATCCAGCTAAAACTCCTGTTCCCCACCTCCCCGACTGGTTCTTACCCCACCGCATTATCCAGCGGAGACTTTGCCAGAATTTCCCGTACTTAAAGTTCACTTCAGATAAAACTTGAAGGATGTGTCTCTTTAAACGACAGTAGCTCGACTGCACTGTTTTGCAGTCGTTCACATTTTGGTGACTATCGTGAGCCAATTCAAATTTAGGCGCCCGCTAGAAAATGTGTTTTGCCTTCTGCCTATTATGGCAGTATCATTTGTTTTGCATTATATAATTCTTAGCCTTGCCACCTGGAGCTATTGGACTTCTTCATTAAACCCCTCTGTCCCACCACATCCCACAGGGGCTTCTAATTACTGGCTTTACTCCATTTACTCTCATCACCGATTCAATTATACATTCAACTAAGCCCTAATGAAGAGTACAATATGGCTCATCCTACCTTGGCATTCACCATTACGTTCTTCATAGCCAGCATTGCACAGACAGTTGCCAATGGGCACCAGCCATTCACCATCTGCCCCACAGTACATTTTTGGCACATCCTTCTCTTCCGAGTTGTTGACGCAGGAGCCACGAACCTCCACCAGAGAGGATGTATCAGCCCCGGTAATGGTGTCTGGAAACTGTGCCAGGTTTCGAACTGTCAATGGGCACTTCTTATAGAAGACACGAACAGACACCAAAGCAATGCAGGCACCGACGTCCTGAAAAGCCAAGTAAAACCCTTTCTTGCTGAGAGGTCCCACATCCCGTATCTCTGTATTCAGCTTCATGATCCTGTCACCAATGTCCACCTGGGTGAAGCTCTCATCAGCAGCAATGGTGTCAATCTTGGCAAACTGGCTCTCTCGAATAAAACGCTCCTTATCATTGTTTGATTCATAGTAATAAAGGTTGAAAGTCTCTTTGCAAGTTCCCATGACACCTGGCAGGCTGTTGCAGTCTCTTAGCGTGAACTTGATTTCAATATATACTCTTTGAGCCCCCTCACGGGGAATCCAATCAGTTCGTAACCAATTATTCTGACTGGGCTCCATCACATTGCAGACTTGATAGGTGCGGATCGGAGTGTTCTTCTCATCCATAATGCTTACTTCTTCCCACTGTGAAGATGGAAAGGGGAAGAAAAATACATCAGCATTAAAAGGAATTACAGAGCTCCACAACAAATATAATCTGCACTTCCACAACTAATGTGGAGATTGCATTTTTTCCATTACAGGAAAACAAATCAACTCAAAACAAACTCAGAGTACACCACTGACACTACAGTGTTTCCCCTGTAGCAGACAAGGCAGGAAACGCATGGACTCCACTTTGCACGTGGGAACATCAAACAGTGAGATCGCGTGACTTGGTCACACAAAAAGCACAGGGCAGAGCCAGAGCAATATCCGCATTTCTGGCATCACTACCACATATTTTAAACTCTTAAACCATCCTTTACTATTTCTCTAAGCTGCCAACTACTTTCCTGGGCTAGCAATATCCCAGTTACGCTCAGCAAATAGTCTTTACTTTGGAGCTGGGCAGAAATAGCTGGACTGGGTCCTTGACTTGGGCAGCACTTGGAAGGACAGGTAAGGAGACAACATCTACCTATCAGACTACCAGCAACATTGCCATAACTTTGCTATCCAAACAAAGTTTCTTATTAGTGAGAAGGTGGGAAAAGAAGGAGTATTACACATCTTGTCCTAGATGAAATGTTAGGAAATAGCTAAATTCATATTCTCAAAAACCCAGAAAGGTTAGCAGAGAGGGTAAGTGCTGAAAGATCAGGGTAGCAGCATGCTTCAAAGCTCTTATACCCCTCATATCAAGTTCAGGCATCTTCAGAAGCCCCAAACTAACAGGCAACATAATTATGAAACAACAACAATCCATGCAATCCAAGGAAGGTATGGAAAGAAGAGATCTGGGCCTAATTCAGTAGTTCAGCATGATTGACTTATAAAAGGAAAGCACACACAACCAACAGTTTTGAAAAAAGTTGCTTTAAGGATTATCGTAGACAGAAGAAAGTTTATCACAGTGCTTTCCTAGTAGGGAGAGGGGGAGGTAGGGGCATTAGGGAGAGATATCTTTCTAGCAAAAGCCCCATAGCACTTCAATATCACAAAAATCCTTCTTAAAAAAAAAAAAATTAGATAACGATATACTGCCTGGATTTGCAGGCAATACAGTGAAGCATATAAAATTATCCTTGGAAAACAGCAGTAACTTTAAAGAGACTTCCCAGAAGTGCTTTTCAGAACTACTGGAGCTGTGGCTTTGATAAACAGAAGCCTTCTTAACGTTAAGGGGCTTCTGGTATAATATCCTACATTCTTCTCACAAGGATTGCTCTTATGCAAGTGATTTTTACTTAAAAAGATTCCAGCTTAGCTGAATCCATTTATAGAATGACAGTAGTTAGCACCATGAGTCACTAGGAGCAGAAAGAATAATATTTTATTTGCTGCCTAGAGATAACTGCAAATTAAAATGAAGGAGGAGGGGAAAATCAATACTCAGCATGTCACTCCTTTTCACAGAAAAGGAAAAAATAAGTCTTAAAAAGTCATCTATCAATGTAAAGTGTAATATGCTGTTAGTAAGAAGACAGAGTTGTTTAATTTACAGCTGCCACAGAGCTAGTTTACTGTTACAATATTGTTTTTATGATCCATCACTTTCCATTCTGCTTATCTTCAGACTGTCTACACTACCTATATTGTGTGTGGTACAAGAGAAAGGAAGAAGCAGAGGGAAATAATACTTGTTGATGGGATTTCCTTTAGTACATTTATACAATGGAGGATGCTGCTCGAGGATTCAATAAAGAGACCACTGAGGTCAACGGACAGACTGCAACTAAATTCAGCAAGTTTCAGATCAGGTTCTGAACACACCTCTGTCTCCTGACAGATACACAAATATATAGCACTGGGTTTCTTATTTCATAAACACACATACACAAAACAAATCTAAGTGTGTCTTACTGCCAGAGCTGAAAATAACTACAGCCCCAAATTTCCAGCCACTGTAAATGATTTGTAACTGTAAATATGTGGTCAAAGCTGTAACTTTTTGCTTTCAAGCTGAAATTAACTTTTATAATTCAATGCTTCCCACGGTTTAATGATGCAGAGTAAGACATTCTGGGCACAAAACCTGCTTTTCAACTGTGAAATGCAAGAGTAAATCATTAATTACATTTATAATGCAATTCATTAATTCCTCCAGGGCTACTATATATTTCATTACTGCTAGTCACTGCTAAGTGACTATGTTTATCTCCATCCCTTCTTATCCACACAACCCCCGCACCTCAGGAACTGCGTGGTACAGATCTGCGTGGCATACATCTAGAAAAATATCTTTTGTAATAGACAATAAGGTGCACACAGTTAAAGAAAAAATAGCACTGAAGGACAGAATCTTCCCAGGAAGATAAAGGAGTTCATTTCTGCTGCTTGAAATAAATCTGCAGCATATGAAGTTAAAATAAATGCTTTCCAAGCACTGTACCTCAGAGACAGACCATGTACTCTTAAATTTTTCACTACTAGCTTAAAAATAGAACACATGTATGTAGGTTTAGTGAAACGAGTCACGTCCACAGTAAGAGCACACATTTCCTTCTCAAGCTTGCATGGCACTTCCAGAGAAAACACGGTGGGAAAGGGGGAATCCAACAGCCATTAATAATATACAGCTGTCCTCTGATCATCAGTTCTACTACTGACTTATTAAAACTTGTATTTTAGGTCCTATTTTAATATACAGCATAGACATCCCTTGGAGAGCCGTATGAAAGACCCCATCTCATTAACTGACCTTTCCGGGGTAGAGGATTAACAAGGAAGCCCAACTCTCACCGAGACAGAGCTGTACCTTTCCACACTGTCAAAAGATGAGGGCAATTGCCTGCAATCAGCAGTGAATGTGCACCATCGGCGCTGCCAGAGGCCTGCCAATCACTCCCCCGCTCTTTGAAAAGCCCGAGTTTCGGGGACAGCACAGTGTGCTCAGGCAGAGCACAAGCCACGACTGTAGTCAAGTTCACCCAGAACAACAATGGGGGTGCAAAACAATCCCCCATTCTCCCATGTTATGGTTATTCAGAGCTTATGCATAATGCATCACCAACCAATGCAAGCTCGGATTCCTTCCACTCACTGCTGTTTCCTTAGCTCTGCTTCTTCTAAATATGAGTGGGAACGCACACAAAAAAGTAAATTTGTAGGTTTCCTGAAGAATCCAGTGCTTTGTCGTGCGCAGGTCCTGATCTTTCACCACTTTTATTTTTCAATCAGTTTGACTTAGTTACTTCTGCTTAAGCATACTAAGCTGCTTTACTCATTTAATATTAAAAGGATTTGAGGTGGGGTTTTTTTTTATATTAATGTCTAGTGTGCATTGCTGGCATTTTCATTAAATTGTTCACTTTAAGAAAGAAAAAGCCTTTCTAATTGCTTATTAAAAAAAAACCCCATAAAGTACAGCCTCCACCAGATCCCACCAAATCTGAAGTCCAGCGTCCTCAGGAGTTTCCCACAGAGGCCCTGGGCACACCGCAGAATGGGGCACAGATGAGGGAGCAGCAAGGTGCCCATCTATAATATAAAGCTAAATTAGTAGAGATACCTTGCCTGCAGCTCACTAAGCAAAGGGGCTCTCAGCCCCAGCAATGGATGTGTGAATCTCTTAATGTCATCACATCACCATCAGTCAGTGAATTCAACTAATCTTCTCTTACAATTGTCTCTTCTTTGAAAAAGTACATAAAAAGAAACTCCAAGGAATCACCGTTGAGCACTGGGAGCTTCAGTTTATCTGTTCAGAGACCAAAACATATGATGTTTACACCCTGAAATAGGACAACTGTCCCGTCATGCCAAAAGGTCTATCTTGTATATTGATCCCTACTCCTTCATCCAGAAATAGAACAGCAATTGCCCTGAACATCTCCCAGCTGAGACGGCCCATAGATATAATAATTACAGTCAAGAATGCTAGTTCAGTCGCCAGATCACATTTCTTGTTGGTATTTCAGTTTTAAATAGGCATCTAAGCCCATGCCTCAACCAGTCTCCTAATTCTGAAACCTCTTTTCTGCCCTTTTGGTTTCCACTTCTTCCATGACAGAACTATCCAAAGGGAGTATAGAGTTTCTCCAACAAAGAGTAATTCACTTGGTAAGCCAGGGAAGAAATCTGACCTCCTCACCACAATCAACAATAATCGAGCCATTAGGACTCTCTGAAAGTTACTAATCACCCCCTTTACCCTTTTGATCAGATAGCGGTTTAAAACTTACCCCTCCTTCCAGGGGACTTGCTATCCACCCCAGTTCTCCCTGAACTGATCTGGAATCCAGCAAGGTAACTGCAGAAAGGTACAAATAAAATAGATTAAATTCCAGCTGCCAAAAGGCAATATTAAAATAAATCGTTTACCTGAGCGTTTCCATATGTGAGGAGCACGATCGCAACCACCTTCAACTTGAAATGAAATGTTATTTCCGACTGCACCAATTCCTTAAATAATTTGAAACTCTCTCTGTTTTAGATCTGAGGGATCGCACGTTCATTCCTCCGCGCGATACAGCCGCTCACAGGGCGCGGAGCAAACAGTGAATTCCCCCGACACATCTGGTAGAAGACACAGAAGAGTTCTCCTACTTTGAAGGAAAAACCCGTGGCGTGCCGGCGAGCCGGGAAACGGCGCGCTCCGGCCGCGCTGGGTGCGCTGCATTTTCCGCTGCCTGGTACAGGCGCAACTGCACCTTAGCGATGAGTGGGAAATTGTAACTTTCCGGGACCCCGGGAGCTCGCCCAGCCCCGGCCGGGAGCGCGGCCGGGCACCGAGAGACCTCG